TCTAGGATTCTACCTGTCTTCTTCCTCCCACCTTATCGCCATAGTCGTCCACGTGTCTTCTCGAACAATGCCCACGTAAAAACATACACAATCAATATCATGAAAACATGCAACGTACAATTTAATCTAATTAAATTTAAACCTTAAACCTAACGGATTCGAAAGATTATCTTATGAAGCGTGAGGTGAACTATTGATTGAAGCAACCTGCCACGAAAACCAATCGGTGCAGTCGGGAGGAGCAGCGGCGGCGGACGCGCGGGTTAGCGGCGGCGCGTGAGATTCACGCGCTGTCTTCGGGCGGCGCGTGAAGGCGCGTGCGGCGGCTTTTAAGCGATTTGACTCCTTTGTCTTCATCCTCTCGAATTTCACCTAGTATACTGATTTCTACTAAATACGTGGCACTAGACACGCAAAAGTTAGAATAGACGGAAGAAAAAGACAAAAAGAAAAGAGCTACCGAAGACGACCGGAGCGTGGGGCCGATTGCGGCGATGGGGATAATGTGCTGATGGATCATGGGATAGTGGGTTAACGGGTCATGGGGATGTATAAGGTGGAGGGACATAAATAGGAAAATGGGTGGCTAAGATTTTGAGTGGGTTCTCCTCAAATGGTGTAAAATAGTTTGGGTCTTTCTCTATTAAAAGAAGTATTTAGGGCAATGACAAATAGGCCCATGACAAGGGCACTTAATTAAAAGAGGGACATTCAAATTTTTTGTCTTTCAAATAAATCCAGCTCATTCAAACTTATTTGCAAATAAGGAAAATCCTTTTATATATACCAAAATTACCCCCAATTCATTGAAACCCAATTCAACTCCAATTTCATGATTTACACCCCAATTTAGCCCAATTTCATCAATTATTTTAACCATAATTTCAATTTTGACCCGCCACCACCGGAGTCCGCCCAATCCGTTTTCTTTTTTGAAAACTTTTTTTTTTTTGAATTTTTTTCCGGAAGATCAACCTTCGTTGAGCGCCGGGTCTCCGGCGTTGACTTTTTTTTTCTTTTTTTTTTTATAGTTTTGTTTTTTCATAAAAACAATATTTTAATTAATATTACTGTCTTGGTTGCTAAATTACTGTCTCCAGCAGTTATTTAACTGTCGGAGACAATAATTTAACTGTGAATTGATTTTGTTTTCTTCAAAATTATTTTAAGTAATATTACTGTCTTGGCTCCTAAGTTACTGTCTCCAGCAGTTATTTAACTGTCGGAGACAGTAATTTAACTGTTAATTGACTTTTTTCTTAAAATATTTTAATTAATATTACTGTATTTGTTGCTAAATTACTGTCTCCAGCAGTTATTTAACTGTCGGAGACAGTAATTTAACTGTTAATTGACTTTTTTATTCTTAAAAAAATATTTTTAATTAATATTACTGTCTTGGCTGCTAAATTACCGTCTCCAGCAGTTATTTAACTGTCGGAGACAGTAATTTAACTGTTAACTGACTTTTTTTTTTTTTTTTTAAATTTCTAAATAAAAATTATTTTAATTAATATTACTTCCTTGGCTGCTAAATTACTGTCTCCAACAGTAATTTAACTGTCTTAGATAGTAATATTAATAATATTGTTGTTCGGGAAAATAATATTCATAATATTACTGGCCCAAACAGTAATATTACTGTCTAAGACAGTAATATTAATTAAAATATTTTTTTCTAAGAAAATAAAATCGAAAAAAAAAAGTCAACGCCGGATACCGGCGGTCAACGTTGGTTGACCGGCCGAAAAAATGTTAAGAAAAAAAAAGTTTTCAAAAAAAAAGAAAAAAAAGTCAACGCCGGAATATGGTCGGAAAAAAAAAATTTAGAAAAAAAATTATTTTCTAAATTTTTTTTTGGGTTTAATGGGATATATTTGTTTAAATCCGGGGTCAATGTGTAATATTAAGGAAGTTAGATCATAATTCATAATGGATGGACTTGATAAGAATTATATTATGGAGGGTATTTTAGACTAAAGACATGGGGATGGATTTAATTGAGAGACTATTTTCTTTTTTGTGGACCAATGTACATTTAAGTCCCATGTAATGGGCCTTTTTGCCATTCGCCCATATATATATATATATGTATATATATATATATATATATATATATATATATATATATATATATATATATATATATATATATATATATATATATATATATATATATATATATATATATATATATATATATATATATATATATATATATATATATATATATATATATATATATACATACATATAGATACATATAGAAATATATATATATATAAATATATATATATATTTATATAAAGAATTAGTTTTGTGAATATCATACATACCATGAAATTCTGGTAACACTGCTATGACAGACATAATGCTGCTCGTTACTTTATTTTCTACTTT